ATATATTTATATTTATTTATTTCATATATATATATATATATATATATATTTTTTTTTTTTTTTTTTTTTTTTTTTTTTTACAATTTGGTTTGTTCATAATTGACTGAAAGTTGGGATAAAACAACCCTGCATTTGTGTGTGTGTGTGGATTTGTCCATATTTGACCTAAAATAGAGTTAAAGTAGGGTTTAAGTTTATGGTGTCTTTAGAGCAATAAAAAAAATCAACAACCAAACTCAAAAAAAAAAAATGTTTCTATTTAGGCCATGTCCACACATACACGGGTATTTTTATAAACTTTCCCTCTTTAATTTGTTTAAAAATCTCAGTAGACATGAAAGCCAGCATGTTAAGGCCATGCCAGACCAACAGGGGGCGATAAAATTGTATATGCCAGATTCACACCGAACCAATTTGTGAGTAAATTGCATACAAGTCATTGCAAACTCAATACGTTGCTTGATACTTTTGTCGCAAATGACATCGTGAAGTGAAAACTCTGGTTGTAGTGTCATCACTATCTCATGCCAATTTGTAAATTCGATTAAGTGGCGAATTCGTATTAGTTCGTACAATCTCATTCATACATTTAAGTAGGATCTGCTCATCCTCCAATGACGGATGGGTTTGGGGGCGGGGTTTGGTGCCACACCTCTTAAAAATCGTACAATTTTGTAAGACTAAACTCGTAGGAATGTGTACGAATTAGCAGATAAACTGACAAAACGTAAAATAGTTACATTTCATCATGAGATCAGAGTTCTGGAAAACCTGTCCGTAGCTTTCAGTCACTCGATACTTCGTTTTTTCATGTGGACAAACAGTGAAACTGCGTTTAAACAAAAAAGTGAAATTGCAAACCCGTGTTGGTGTGGACATTAGTGTCTGATCAGTGAGGTATTCTGGGTGATATAAGGGTAATGTAAAATCTAAAGCTATATAATATCTAACATGATCAGATGAGTTGAGCCGATGCCACCGAATATGAAGGAATCAATACAAACAGTATTAATTGTGTCTGAGATTGGCTTTGATGTTGTGCTGTTGCGAGCCCAGCGTGAGGTATATTTGACTGGTGGTATTTTGCAGACAGTGCCTGTGTCTGGAGAACAAACAGTCCTTCTCGATGTAAGTCTCTGAAGACAGAAGGGCTTTACTTGCTCAAAGGGCCGCCATTGTGTCGTCTCTCCTCGGCAGATGTGTTGTTGTTGTTGTTGTTTCTCGTATCCACTTCACTCTATACTTGATCTGCTGAACCACTGAATGTTTCGGGTGTTCGAACGCTCCAAAACAGAGTTAGAAAGCGAAATAGCTTGGAAGTACTCTTTGAAAATGAACAAACTCCAGTTCTGTCACACACATTTGCTTTGTCACTTCACAGATAATGACTTTAAGGAAATGTTGGCTCTTATAAATGTGTTGGCAATTGAAAATTGTATGAGCTGCTTTTTCATTCACTGGACTATATTGGAAATTTGATTGATTGATTGATTGATTGATTGATTGTTTCATTTATTCATTTATTCGTTCATTCGTTCGTTCTTTCGTTCGTTCGTTCGTTCGTTCATTCGTTCATTCATTCATTTAATTGACTGTTATTTTTTTAATTTAACAATCGCATTTCTTTTTTTCTTTTTTTTGCATGAAACTGAATAATGAATTAAATTATTATTATTATTATTATTGTTATTATTATTCTAAAATTTTTAAATGTTATGAGCAGCTATTTCACTCACTTGGCTAGATTGAAAATTTGATTGACTAATTGATTGATTCATTCCTTCATTCGTTCTTTCATTCATTTGATTGGCTGATTATAATATTATTCAAAATTTAAAATCGTCGTTGGTATTTATTTATTTATTTATTTACTTTATTTGTATGTTTTTATATTTTATATATTTATATATAAAATTTGTATTATTTTTGTATTTTTAATATATTTTTATTTTATTTGTATGTATCTTAAATTTTTTATGTATTATTTATTTATTTGTATTAATTTATGTATTTGTTTGTTTTTGTTTTGTGTATATATATATATATATATATATAATTTTTAAATATTCTTTAATATTAAAAATGACAAAAAATGACCAATTGCTATTTGAAATTTCCAATCTTACTTTTTTATTTTTATTTAATCATAAACATATATATTAAAATATTCACGACAAAATATTTATTTAAAATATGTTTAATGTATTTTAACATTTAATAACCAATTTTTTTTCTTGTATTTTCCTCCAGATTAAGATTTTTTTAATCTCACAGTTAACTTTGTTTTATTTCTGTAAAAGAATGAATCAGTCACTTAATCAATGTATAATCATAAAGCACTTTTTTTTTTATCCCATAATTCTCATTGTTTGTAGTAATTGTGAAATAATCAAACAAGTATTTGTTTGTGGAGCTTTTTTTCAACTATAGATTATTTATTTATTTATTTATTTTATTATTTTTTTATTTTTTTATTTATTATTATTTTTTTTATTAATTTTTGCTTACTTGTTTGTTTTGTGTACTTGTTTAGTAATTTATTTACTAATTTACTTATTTTTTAATTGTTTTTTAATTCTTTATCTATTTATTTTTTGTTTTTTATTTATTTGTTTGTTTATTTATTCATTCATGTATTTATTTATCCTTGCTTGTTTTTTGTATACTTGTTTATTAATTTATTTTGTAGTTGATTAATTAATTTGTTTGTTTATTTATTTATTTGATTGTTTATTTAATTTTTATTTGTTTTGTTAGTTTGTATTTGCTATATTTTTTGTACAATATCTCAGTTTTTTTTAGTCTTTTTAAGTTTTGTTTCAGCACCAGCAAGTAACTAATTACATAAAATAAATAAAACAATCAGTTTTTTATATGAAACAATTCGCTCTTGTAATTGCAAATATCATCACAGTTATCATTTATATACGTCTTTAATTACATACATTAATAATCATATATATAATCATATTACATAATCATATTCATCACTAGCATTTCTTTAGTATTGAATTTCATAGCAGAACAAAGAATACAAAATAAAATAAATGTAACACATTCTGTGGGTATACTTTATTGCTCTTTATTGATATATTAGTTTGTAAACTTGCAAGCACAAAAATCTGTAAATATGTCTAATCTGCTGCCGGAGTATTGATAGTTTCCCCGAAAGCACAGCTCCGTTCACTCACTCTGTGTTTAATACTGCTCTCAGATTCACTGTATTGATCTCTCTAAGTGCTTTTGTTTGTTTGCTGTAAGTCATCGTATTGACATTCACCAATATTCTGGCAAGGCGTTGTTTTGCCGCCTGATCCTTGTTTAATGATTCCATTGACACGATAAGCCTTTATTCCAGTGATACTGAGCCTCGAGTCTGTGTTTAGAGAGTCGATATTCACACTAAAACAAACAAGCTGAATGCTTGTTCTGGTGTGTAAATCATGTTCGTTATGAAAGTTATTATAAAATATCAATTAGAAAATATTGGTTGTATTGGGGGTCCAGGTTTGGCTCAAAGTGAGAATAGTTGTTGTTGCTTAAAATTATTATTATTATTATTATTATTATTATTATTATTATTATTATTATTATTATTATTATTATTATCATTATTATTTTATTAATTTTTAATATTATTATTAAATGTTATTATTATTTTTAAATGTTAATATTATTATTTAATTATTATTATTATTACTATTATTACTATTATTATGTTTATGTTATTATTATTATTATTATTATTATTATTATTATTATTATTAAATGCTATTATTATTTTTTTTTATTATTTTTTTTTTTTTAATTATTAAAAAATGTTGTTATTATTTATTATTATTTTATTTTTTTATATTATTATTAAATGTTATCATTGTTATTACAAAAACTTTTATGTTAATATTTTTATTAAATGTTATTATTATTATTATTATTATTATTATTATTATTATATTTATTATAATATTATTAAATGTTATTAATATTTATTATTATTATTATGTTTTATGTTACTATTAATAT